CGCCGATGTATCGCGGTACATCGATGTCTGTCATCAATTCCTAAATGCTTGTAATATCCTGTCCGTGTTGGAATAAACCTTGACGTATTGTTGGTACAGACGATTCAATTTCTCTTTCCGCTTCTCGTTCCCTCTTAGTCTTGAAAATTTTGACATTTGTCATTTTATTGATACCTTCTCGTGCATCGGTGATTTCATAATGACTTTTCAAGTTGTTACACGTACGTAAATTTCTTACGTAAAACTCGCACAAAGAATTACTTTCGACATATCTTATATTTCATTCTTGTTACATAATGGTGTGATATCTCTTGGAATCTCGCTAATGGGCAATTCATCAGGTACAATCAGTCCCGATGACTGGTAATCGATATTGCATCGATCGGTTTTGTAGTCTTTCAGTAAAATGTGGAATCATAAAAACGCCGCGGAATACATTAAATTGATCTGTGATTATTGGACTGGATGTTCGGACGGAGAATCAATTTTCCACACAGACCCTCTCGCGAAGATATTCCATTTCCGAAATAGTGCACCTACTGTGCACGGAGATTGATGAATTCATGCTTCATCTGTTATCCAAAGTGTTGTTATCCAATTCTAAAGGTATCTTTTCTCAAGAAAATGGTTAAATTAAAAAATATTTTATATGATGAATCGAGGTAGTTTTTAATATTTTAATATTACAAAAAAATGCAGAACTGTGGCATAACTAATTAACGATTAATTAGCCAAATAATTAATTTAATCTTTTAATTATGTTAAATGTTAATGATTATTATAAATTTGAATTACATAATTTCTAATAGTAAAAATGTTAGGCTGACGAATTCTTTTTTTTTTTAAACAGAGGTTTCCAGTGTTTCTCGAGATTGTAATCGATAATGTATCTTTCAATAAATGTTTTAAAATCTTTGATAGCGAATGGCGCGTACATGTCTTCTTTTCGCGAAGGTGATCCATTTCAGATCGCTTCGAATTTTCTGCCAAATCAAAAAGTAAGTGTATACGAATAACATTGTGTATGTATCAGTTCGAGATGATCATATAACAGTCTATATGGGTTTCCTGCATGGCACTATAGCTGGTAGAAATGTTTCTCTCTTATGCAATAAAATGTTCATCTCGCGGGTCATTGGCCTCCTTTTTCGTATTTCCTGCTTATTCTCATATATTCTAGTATGATTCCTTTCATGGCAAATCTATAAAATTGTGTTTTCTATAAATCTATAAATTTGTATTTTTATAAATAATTGTTTTTGCTCAAGCATTGATAACAGAAAGTTTAAAAGTTTAGCATAAATATTATATTATTAGAGATATATATTTTATTATATTATTAGAGTTATATATCAAAATTTCTCTCTGTCATTATTTATAAATATTATAATTATCTTGTAAGAAGGCTTAATTAATGAAAATTTGAATTAGCATCTGATCAGTCAATAATAAATCTTTGATAATATTTATTTATATGAAGACACTCTCTATGGATATTAATGCTAAATAAAAAAGATATATTGAACATGTTAAACGACATAATAATTTTTTTAACAAAGAGCAAAATTTTGCTAATCGTTCTCCATGCTCATCTATTCAGGAGAATAGAAGTTACGAGCAATTCATGGGAAATACAGTAACCTAGTGGTGTAGAATTTGATGAGGTTTCGCTTATTCCTAGTACGAGAGCACCTCTGTTTGCTTGCCATTGTTTGTTTCACCTTTTGAATAGCTGTGGCGCCCTAGTTTACATTACACTAATTTGCTTCACTAAATTACTGTGTATTATGCTTGCGTATAGAAAAAATTGTAAGAATTATTGCTATGAATTTGCATAAATTACAAAAATAAGCGCATCAAATAATAAAACAAAATGATAAAAAATTATTTAAAGGATTATATATAATCTACTTACATAATTAGTAATTATATGTATTCAATGTATTTTAAATATAATTAATGTTATTGTAATTGATACTTTTATAATTATGATTTTTTTATATATTTAAGTTTTTAAAAAGTCAAACTTAGATAAAATAGAAACTTAGATAGAATAGAAACAATAGAAAAAAATATTTAAATACTTTATCTTTTTAGATTTTTGTAGAAAATAAATACATACATGTAATTTTATGCAATAATTATTTCTAACATTTTACACAAAAAAAAATAAATAAATTGTTTCTATTTTTGGGAAACTTTAATCATACTGTCGATTTTCATATTTGAATTCTTGATCTCCTCGTTTTTGCCAGTTCTCACGTTTGCAAAGATTACGCCGTCGATTCTGAATGACCAGGCGAGAACCTTGAGAATATTATGATGCGACACAAAGTCCGATGAAAGCTCACCCTTCTCGCAAATATTTCCAATAAATATCATCAATATTAACCATTAGTTAACGCCTACAACGTAAAGATCATACTTTTTCGATAGCTTTTTACCGCGTTACTTTTGATCAATACTCATTTTTATGTATATTAAACGTTTATGACGTATGCAAATTCTCGTGTACAGAGATGTGTATTTATATTACATATATATCGGTATTTATATATCTGTGGAGATATGGATATGTGTTGTTTGGTAGTAATATAAAAGAGTTATAGTATTAGTAATATAAAAATAGTTATAAATAATATAAAAGCTTGGTAATAATATATACGTTATTTGATAATAAAATACAATTTTTTCATCTATTTCAATTAATGTATCTCTCTATAAATTTTTTATTACACTAAAATCTTTTATTAAAGATAAGATACAAGTGTCGGTGCACATGTCTTGCATCGCTATAGCTAATACGAGACACGTTGTTGGCACGAAACGAAATATGATTTAACATCTGTCTCTTTGTTTCTTGACTAGCCACTTTTGTCAATATGCGAAATCTTATTTTGGACTCCTATTATGCTCTTTTTTAAATATTATTCAAATATTACATTTAAATTCATATGTGTATTATATTTATTCATTAGAAACATATATTTATTCATTATTATTCATTCTAATTGGAAATGTTCAAATGAAAATATTGAATAAAATGAGTTTTGTTTTTCTGAAATTTAATAAATTAAATTTCCATATTTATTTAATTTTGTTTTCCAAATTTTCTTATCCATTCAATTTTTTAATAAAAATTTTTTTATTAAGAAAATAAAAATATTTTTTATTATTCCTCTTAAGAAATTTAGTTGTTAGAAAGATATTAAATTTTATGAAACTGAAACATTATAATTTTTTTTATCTTCTAATTTATATTAAAATATGCTGTATATATTAATGGATGGGTAAGAATATGAATGAAAATTGAAAGGTATGCGGGAAAGTTCGTGACGTATAACGGATGCTACGCAAACTCGTGCGGACCAGGAAGATTCACAATGCAAGCATGGCCGATAATCCTGATTTAGACGGGTCCATATATTAGACTAAAGATCGTGAAATTGAATGGTGGAATCAGCGGAGAGAGCGATCCGGCTGTCAACCGCGAAGAACGGAGTATATCATGCGAAAAATAAACTCCCCCTCACGCGCGAACGGGGTTAGTAAATTTCGCAGGTGGGCTAAAGCTACCTGCTGCAATCCTCTCTCTTTTTCTTCTTCTTCTTCTTCGCTGTGGTCCACGTTCCAGGGCTGCCGATCTTGGTCTTTCCGTTGAGGAGTGCCACGAATGTCTGTCCCCAGAAGGCTCGTAAATCCTTGCATTTACTTCGCTCGTTCTGTCCTTACTTGGAGCGTAAATATGTGAAACCCGTCAAAGGTGAGGCACACACTGGCATTCGCCAATCGATTGCATCGTAGAGCATTGTTCCTCTTGAATTGTTGATCTTATATTCTTACATCATATGTATAGCACTGCTTGTGATTATTGCATTATTAATATTAATGCCACTTTTCGTGATTTGAAAATTGTATCAAATTGCAAAACAAAAATGTTTACTAAATGCATTTAATGTATTAATCATTTTAAACAAATTTAGTAAACATTTTATAAACTATATCTGTTGATTGCGAAATTACATCTTGAAACATATGAAGAGGATCGGCTACCAAAAGGAAAAGGTCTCACGCCTAGTCAATGTCGGATTATTACGTTCGGATACGAAAGCCACACTCCGTTATTATTAATGCGACCGATATTCATTCTATACTCATCTGTAGATACGATCTCTCCGCCCAACCAATCGGATAGCTAACGTCTAAACCCGTAATTACCATTAGCCCACCCATAGCGGATGCGATGCTACAAGTCGACTAACGAAAGTTTCAATTTACCTTCTATCATATTCCATGCAACTTGTTATCTTAAATTATGAACGTATATCCATAATGCGCTATAATATCATGCTATATTCTTAATTCAATTTTACATTATTAGGGGATTTATTCCTGATAATCATTATTTATTTTTATAATAATTATTTATTTTTATTTTTATATGTTTTAATTTTCTGCAATTTTTCTACTCAAATATGTACAACATCCTCTGATTTAATTATTATAAATAGTTTTTACACACTTTTACAAAAGTGCGTGTCATGATAATATGGTATATCTATGGGATTAGCAGACTGCATGTTCGTTATCGATACGTGAAGGAGTGTTGGTGTTATAATCTAATCATCGTAGAAGCGTGCCTTTCAAGCCTTTTTCCCCGAGTGTTGATCGACGCCCGCCATGTATCGTTATCTGACGTGAGATTTAAGTCAATCAATCATTCATTAGCTTACACGATCGCGGCGCACAATCGTCTCGTGCGGCCTATTAAACTATTAATTAATTCCATTTAACGAGAAATAAAAGATGACTTGCGTTTGTGGTTCCATGAAACATAGGTATGCAGCGGTGGTTAACGGATTGCGGAGATAAAGTCGTTCATAGACGCTATTTAAAATTTCTTCCGAGGCACCATGTAATTGCGGTTACCGCTAAGTTTGCTATTAATTATTTCTCGTGGCATTTCCTCGGTGATGAGTGTTGTTTTCTTTTTGTTTCAGGGCATAGCGAAGAATCTACAGCCACAGGAACGGTAAGTATCGGCATGACTTGTCATTCGGATAAGACAGACCTCGTATAAACACCATGACCGCTTGCCTCTCCTTTATTCCGCAAATATCTGCACTTTGTAGTACGGTGCAGAATTTCGCTCCTGGCAGACAGGGGATGATGCATGAACGTACTAAAGCACATTAGCGAGATGGACAGAGCGATGTCGCGCCGTGGTAACTCGATCCGCGAAAAGAGAGAAAGAAAAAAAAAATAGTTTCGTTCGTTGATAAATCGCGTCATTTATAAAAATTATAGCAATGATTATAGTGGTGCGCTCTCGAAGACGCGATACTTCTCACTTGGTCAGTTACATAAATCTAAAGGATCACATTAGCTCGCCGTTAATAGCTTTTAAATCGATTCGTATCCCAATAAATTTCACCGGGAGCTTTTTTTTAATAACATCTCTCAGCGCGCGTACACGAACGAGGGTTGTTTATTTATGGGGAATCGTTGGTTCGAAGCGGACGTTGGTTCGTGCGCGTTTTCGTATCTACGTATGCTCGCACGCACGTATGCACGCACCTGGTATGTCTCTCAGAAGGTTTTGATATATCGAAAGGGATGGTGAAACTATTTGGGCCGACACCCCCGCCTAATCCAATCCCTTTTGCTTGGAACCTCAGATTCCTCGCTTCCCTTAATATATCATCCAGTCGTACAGATCGCGCCCCTCGAAAGGCCTCTCTCCTGTATATACGCCATCTCGGTCGATTAGATCTTCCTATCCTTACTCATCTACGCGAACGAAGGAAGACGTCATGTTTATATTTTACGATTCAAGTAGCGCAACAATTTTTACGAATGATCGATAAATTGAAATACCATTCAGCACGCATTATAATCTGGCCATATTTATTGTTGCAGATTTACGACGACAATATTGCTGGAATCGTTTCCCCGTCTCAAGTATATCATCGATCTGACAAACACGTGTCGCTACTATGATAAAAAGGTAAGTGATAAAGCTAAAAAGTTGTTAAATTATCAGTAAATAATTTTTTAAAATTATATATAAAAATTAAACGTTCATCCACAATAGTGATATCTCTATTTTCAATAATTAATCTATTGATAATTGCATTACTTTAAAAATAAATTTTTTCGAATAGTGCATAATACATGTAACATACAACGTAAATAAGTTAGTTTGAGATCGTTGCATGCGATTAAAAAGGAGCGACATGCAGGCAATATCGTCTGATGAAATAATACTGATATTGCCACGCAAAGTTAATGCGAAAACATATTGCGTACCGTTCGAGTTTCAAGCCGTAATTCGCTATGTTTATGCACGTACTTCCTTACCTTTCAGTAACTCGAGACAAGAGAGATCTTCTCTTCTCACTCTCTCGCAAGCTGTCACCTGCTGCATTCTTTGATCGAGCAGATATACAGATTCTTTCCTCTCTCTTCCTCGAACTTTACGGTTTGACCGTCTGCATTATCTCCATTTGTCTATCATATTTTTCTTTCTCCCTCCGCTTTACCTGTCCTTTTCTGCTCTCACTCCGACTTATTAATATCGCATTGGAATCGGTTTCGATTTAAAAATGCTCGAGAGCAGCCCAACTAATTTGTAACGAGAATAGAGAAGCCGCGAGCTAATGAACTTATTATTAGATTTTTGGAATAATCGGCTGCCAGCGATTCTCGATTGGCTGACTGATCGCTGGTTCGAGTCGGCGGTGTGTCGACCAAGCGAGAATATGTCCGCGGTGTTTTCTGGGTCAGAGCTGTCAGGACCAAAGACCGATCAATTATATTAATAAGTCGTAGAGTCGGTTCGGTCACTCCATCTTCTGCTTTTTGTCCCGACTTCACCGACGTTTGGACAGCCATTTGCCACGCGAGGAATCTCACTAAGGGGATATATGTTTTTAAAACAATACACACAAACGCTGCGCCGTAAACCTTAATAGCGCTGCGAGGCAACGATAATTAACAGAGAGATCTTTCGGTGTCGCCCACGCCTAATTAGAGCGCATTATACATATATAATGAAGCGCTTAGCCTTTAATTTTTCTGTTTGTGATAGATGTCCCAACAGAAAATAAGATTATAAAGATAAAAGATGCATTCCCGATTCGTGAAGATTTTATCATCGGATTTTATCAGATGTGGTTCTAGCTCTCTTAATTTTGTGTATAATGCACTCTGATTTTTAAGATATGTTATAGAATGTAAAGTGCATTAAATATGTGACTAAGTATTTTTACATAAAGATATCAAAGAATTTACAAATAGAATTTTCATCATGAAATATCGCGCATTCCCGATTCGTGAAAATTTTATCATCGGTATCAGATGTGGTTCTAGCTCTCTTAATTTTGTGTATAATGCACTCTGATTTTTAAGATATGTTATAGAATGTAAATTGCATTAAATATGTGACTAAGTATTTTTACATAAAGATATCAAAGAATTTACAAATAGAATTTTCATCATGAAATATCGCGCATTCCCGATTCGTGAAAATTTTATCATCGGTATCAGATGTGGTTCTAGCTCTCTTAATTTTGTGTATAATGCACTCTGATTTTTAAGATATGTTATAGAATGTAAATTGCATTAGATATGTGACTAAGTATTTTTACATAAAGATATCAAAGAATTTACAAATAGAATTTTCATCATGAAATATCGCGCATTTCCGATTCGTGAAAATTAAAACACTGGTATCAGATGTGGTTCTAGCTCTCTTAATTTTGTGTATAATGCACGCTGATTTTTAAGATATGTTATAGAATGTAAATTGCATTAGATATGTGGCTAAGTATTTTTACATAAAGATATCAAACAATTTATAAATAGAATTTTCATCATGAAATATCGCGCATTCTCGATTCGTGAAAATTAAAACACTGGTATCAGATGTGGTTCTAACTCTCTTAATTTTGTGTATAATGCACTCTGATTTTTAAGATATGTTATAGAATGTAAATTGCATTAGATATGTGACTAAGTATTTTTACATAAAGATATCAAAGAATTTACAAATAGAATTTTCATCATGAAATATCGCGCATTCCCGATTCGTGAAAATTTTATCATCGGTATCAGATGTGATTCTAATTCTCTTAATTTTGTATATAATGCACGCTGATTTTTAAGGTATGTTATAGAATGTAAATTGCATTGGATATGTGACTAAGTATTTTTATATAAAGATATCAAAGAATTTATAAATAGAATTTTCATCATGAAATATCGTGATACATACATTTTCAAGATTAATTTTTTTTTTAACTTGCTATAATTTAATTTTACTTTTGCTGAGATTAAGAACTAAAGATACTCCTGAGCGTGTGAAAGAATTTCTTGTTTATTATTGACGGCAAGAGAAGAGAAAATAGCTCGAGATAACCATTAAGAGCAATACTGCACGATCACGAGGATTGAGTTTCTAATATCTCGCTAAAAGCAAAGTCAAAAAGATTGATTATTATGACGTGATCTGTCATTAGGGTGGAGAAACAAGTGGTAACTGTTATCTGATAGCGCTCATAACGAGTTAGAACTACATCGTCGTTGTTCTTGTTGATATTTTTTTAATAACTAAAAATAACAGTAAATGTTAATGCATTATATGACATGTGCACATTAATTTTTAATACTATTATTCGACCTTGATTATTTAAATGTTAATTGTTTATATTTTTACGTTAACTTTTATTTTTTATTTTAGTCTGTTTCTGCTTTAGATTTGTTAATATTATGAGATGTAAGAACATTGATTAGGGACAGATAGAGAGATTCATAAATATGTAATACTCGTTGTTGCCTCCAGGTGAACACACTTGCCAAGGAGTATTTTCCGAGATACGAATGACTGTGAATCTTGCTTTCATTCGTGTCGATTAGTGTCGTATATTTTCTTTCCGCCTTTGCAAGCTTCATAACGATCGATTGTTTCGGTTTACCGACGTTCGGTTTACATCACACTCGGATGACACGCTCGCATTCAGAGACGTATGATTACTCGCATTGTTTGTAATTGACGGTTTTATGTGTGATAATTAGTGATTCTAATGAGTGCTCCGAGACAGTTTAACATGACAATAGCTTGGCCGATCAAATTATAGTTCTCGTACTCAATTAATGCATCTGCGTTTCGCTGCGACAGCGAACACACTGCTTTTGTTACGTAACAATATGTACGCGATTGTTTATATTGTTGACGTCTTTGTTTTAGGAATTTACAAATGCTGGTGTTAAATACGAGAAGATTGCTATACCAGGAAGAAAAGTGCCGCCTATGGACCTAGTTAAAAAGTAAGTATAATTGTTCATTATTTATAATATTACTCTTGTAATCGCTATGACACGTGTTACTTCATTCATTGAGGCAACTTAAGTTGGCTTAAAGAACATATAATTTGTTCAGTCGCGCTAAATCTTAGAATACGCTGTTAGAATATGCTCTTAAAAACATTGCAAATTTTGTAAATTTCTTGCAATAGTTTAATTTCAGAATTTCTTATATTTCTAATAAAAAGCTTAAGATTCAAAGATATCATTTATTCTATTACAACAAGTAGTCATTTTTACACAGAATAATTTTCTATCAAACTCTGTGATGGATTCCGCAAACAATCCAACCGATTTATGTAAGATATAACATATAAACTTTTCTAATACGATTTTAACTAATCTTTAATTTAATTTAAATTATATTTTTACGTTTACTATCCTTCTCACAGCGATCGGCGATTGATCAATGTGAGATTCGTATAGTGTAAGTGATGGTCGATTAATCATTCTGTCTGCAAATCACGTTTTAATTTTATAAGAATGTTTACTACAGCGTGTACCCTTTTTTTATCTCTGAACATTCGAGAAATCAGAAGCGAGTATCGCATCAGAAATTTACGCTTATCGTTCTTTTTTTCCTTCTTCCTCTTTGTCTCTCTCGATATTTTCGTCCACTAATTTAAGTCGTAAAATACACGCTATATAGCGAATCGTGTTACACTGTCCGAAATTCCTTAGTTCATATTGCATCGAGTAATGAGTTTAGTTACGATCCACCTTGCATGATGAGACTGATATTTGCGATAATTTTTGTTCTGTTCGGCTAATCATTATCAAAGAACGATGATGCAATTTCCGCATCATCAATTTAATAGCCTTGTTGCATAGACATGGTTTTTGAAATGACTGAATTATTTTCAGAGTCGTAGATTTTTACATTTTTAAAAATTTATATTGTCTACGATATAAGAAAATATATAGTGACATTAAGCATCCTTTCAATAATCTTTTTTATTATTAATTCTTTTTCATTATAACTTTTTTAATTTTAATAATATAATATTACTTTAATAATAATATTTTAACTTTAATAATACTATTTTAATAATAATAATTTTTAATTTTAATAATACATATTTATAATAATACATTTAATAATACATATTTATAATGAATTTACATCTCAGGGTTTTATGTAATATATTTAGACTTATAACAAGATATTACATTAAAAAAACAAGATATTACATTTAAAAAAATTTCTTTTTTAATATACTTATTTAAAATTATTCAAAAATTAAGTTTTATTCTTTATTTTATAAATTTTTTTTTATTTCTAATATCTCTGAAATTTATATAAATATAACTATCTAGACTATTAATAGATATTATATCAATGATCTTATTTCTTTACTTAATTGGTCAAGATTTTCGATAACGGAGAGGATGCAATTATTAAAATCTTCATCTGATGATCGTCAGGTAGTCGGAAGAGGCTTAATAAAATTCTCGAAATTTCTACGGTGTTCAAGATAACATCCAATACTTCGCTCGTGCGGGATGAGAACGCATATTAACCTTTGCATGGCGCCATCATACGCACGCGTGTGGTTTTTCTCCAAACGATATATGCAAAACTGTCTGATGGAGCCGGTCAGTCGACTAATTAACTGCGGTAAATGTCCAATGATTTACCGAATATTGTGCTGTATTTTTACTCGTCTTCCGTCTTCTTATTTTTTTTTCTTTTTCTTCTCTCTCTCTCTCTCTCTCTCTCTCTCTCCGTTATTATGTGTGTGTAAAAGAATCTCTAAATACTATATAATTAATTAATGTGTAAGAACAATATTATACGATCAGAAAAGAGCAATGTTCAAGTGCTGCAATTAACGTGGCGATTTCTTATGAGATATAAAAACTATTTATTATTACGGTAATGAAGGTATTAATTATCGTATCTCCCAAATATTTGCGGAGAAATATAAAGACATTTCACGGCGATATTCAACGCGATTATTTCTCGCGGCAAGAGTGCTACTAAAAACACTTTCGTAAGTGCAGTGCGCGTAAAACATGACATGGGCATATTCTTTTAACAACATCGTGTCGCATTAAATACTATTTACTTGTTCGACTGACCGGGAAACGTAATAAATATACGAGATATTTTCTTAATTTAAAAAAGAAATAATGTTGATTGGTCCATCCGACCGAGCGGGTTAAAGCACGACCTTTCGCGATCATCCGACATCTCACTCTCCTTTCCCGGTCGTCGATCGGCCCGCACAAAGGACGCGGCCCGATTTGTATAATTCGAGGATAAAACGGTGATTCGCATCAACGGTTAATAGCCAACAGGTATGCGAATAGCCCGTCTGGTCCCGACATACTACTCTTTTGTTAGTCTCTTTGAGCGAGTCCTGATGGCTTTGTGGCTCGGCTGTTGCGCGACGTGTAATTAACTGCATCCTTGATAGGATCGGATCGGTTACTGACGCTGCCGCGGCTAAAATGAAGGAGAAAGAGATCAAGAGAGATGGCGAAAGAGGAAGGGGGTACGGAGTAGGTGAAAACTAGGCGCCACTTAATATCCTAGATATCCTTGAACTTTGAAAGCGCAGAGGTAGACGAGACGTGGAGATGGGACAAGCTAGCTAAGTCAACATGGACGGAAATCAGGAAGGTGAAGACCTTCTTTTTTGTTCGAACTTTATTCTATTTAGCTTTAATCGGTCCTTCAGAAGTGCTCGTATCGATGAAATTTACCAGCCAGTAATATTGACTTATGTCAGCTGACTTTCTCATTTTTCGCTCGCCCGGAAGATCAAAGTTGATCCTTTCCCTCAAGGATGTCCTCGCGAACGTATCTACGAAACGTCAAAAATATCTTTATAGCAGGCACTGATGCTCGTGTTGTCGTTCGAAAATGGTATTCGGAAGGTAAACGACGTTTCCTTATTTCGCAGTGCTATGCATGCAGGATTAACGATTGGCAATTAAAGGAGAAATCGTGAGAAAAAAACGAGCCAACATATGATTATGTTTATTCGCGACGGAGTCTTAAATTTGACGCAGCTAATTGCGCATCTTGAATGCCTAACTGGATTCATGGCAAGAAATGGCGTTTATTCAATAATTAATTTACCTTTGGAAAATTAATAAAATTGATAAAAATAAATAACGTACAGATATAAATTATACACACATTTATCATTCTTTATAAGTCAACTTTATATCATTGGTTGCAAATACAATTTTGAGAATTATTTTATATAATTATTAAATTTTAATATATATATAAATGCTCAATAGAAAGAAATACAGATAGGTCTTATTAAAAATTAAATAATATAACTTTACAATTAAATAACATGTATAAATAAAATATGCTAATGTTACTATCTTGAAAAAATTAATAGACCTCTAGGGACAACAACACGCGTGTTTGATAGCATTTGTTCCGTGTAAACGAGTAAGCTAGTTATTGATAATCACGTTGATAGCGGCTCGTTAGTCGCATGCGCGGCGGATTAAGCAATTTCATGTGAAACACGATGTTAATTGAAACATAAGCGCATGCAACGTGAACCTGATGCGAGGACTGCCGAGCTGCAGCACTGGCTCGAGTTCCTTGTACTCACGATGCATAAGATTGTGCACAAGTCGATTTATGTTGCACCCGACTATATTCATCAACGTTGTCAACTCTCCACCTCCGCATCCAACACGCCGCCCCACTGTCATTTTCCTGGCGATTCTAGACTCTCTCTCTTTGCTTCGCCAGTTTCTCGTGTCTATACTTTGTTAGGTATGTTGAGGAGATAGATCGAAACTGTTTCTTTCGCTTGTTTTGATATAAATGAGATTCAATTTCAACGCATCTATTAAATGTGCCACAAGATTCTATTTGTAAATGATCAAACTCATAAAATTTATGCGTTTAATTAATTGAAAGTAAAACGAGATAGTTGACATAATTTTGCTGCAAAATAATATTTGATAGAAAATGTAAAGTTAATCATAAAAGTTAAGTTTCTGATTGAAAAAAATCCAAATTAACGTCTATTAAACTCTTTTAAATAAAAGTTGTTTCACGAAATTATTAATTAATTTTGCATGTATATTTTATAATTTGAAAAAATTATATATACTTTAAAATAAAAATTAGGAGAATATTTATAAGATAATAGGTTAATGTATCATAACATTTATATTGTGACGTGATGGTGATCTGATTAATGAAATGTGATCGAAGAACTATACTATGATCTTAAAACGAGTACATGCGAAAGTGCAAGAAACGTGGGTGTACAACAGACGTCTTTATTCGCAAGGACATTGAACATAAGTTTCCACATGTTCTCTGTCTTGTATTGCAGGATGTTGCGTATATATTCTGCGAGCGTAATAAGATATTCTTTCGCGATTTCCGGGGAATACGAGAGAAATCATTTGAAAAAATCGAAACTATCTTAGCTTTATGAATAAATTATTACTATTATTGTGAAAAATATATATAACATCCGTAATGTCTGCAATACATTAATTAAACCAGATTTGATTATCGATCGAGAGAATTACGTAGCTGATATATATAATTCAAAGATACTACATATACCTTGCGTGAGCGTATCTTCTAAATTAATAACGCACACTTCAGCGGGCTGAAAACATAATTAAAAAGTATCTTTGGACTTTCTGCAAGTTTTCAACACAGGAAATCTATATCTCGCCAAAAGGGGAAAGGTAATCTCCGAAGATCGCGCGAACATAAATGCCGACGACGTTTCTCTGAAAGATCGTCGATTGGTTCCTTTAGCGCCCGGGGCGAACCCATCTCAAATATTCTGACGTGTGGCGTCTCGGGGCCGGTGCCCTTACGGAGCGCGGAGAAATCACGGGAGAGGCATGTTTTGGCAAGTGATTGTGGGTGGTAAAACGTACTCGCGCGTTTCTCTCCCATCCGTATAATGCGTCCAAGCGCGTGCACGTTGCTTCATATTTCCGGTGCCGTTAATTCG